GAATGAACTGCCCCCAGAGATCAGGGTCATCCCTGATCTCCCTTCCTTCCGCCGCGCCCTTAAGACTTGGTTATTCCAGCTTGCAGGACTGGCCTAGGGTAATTTTTAGAGGGGTTTTAATTATTTTTAATTGGACTACGTTTAAATATTTCTTTTTAATTAATTTTAATTTTGTAATTGTTATTTGTGTATTTTAATCGATTGTCAGCCGCCCTGAGTCCGCAAGGAGAAGGGCGGGATATAAATTGAATTTAATAATAATAATAATAATAAAAAGCTCCAAAGGGAGACTCTGACCAAAATGGCTAAGTTAGATTTTATTAGCAAATTGCAATTACTGTGTTAAAAGTTTAGAATTCAATTTTGCATATTAGGAAACTAGTATGTTTGCTAATGCTTAGTCAAGAGCTCAAGCAAGTGCACTGTGACAGATAAACTCACTTTTCTTTCATTTTATACTTCACTGGCTGTAATACTAGCATTTTTTTTTTCTGTGTATACATATCTGCCAACTAAGGCAATTTTTTTTTGACCTGACAAATGTGGCTCTAGCATATGGCTGCTCTTTTAAGTTCTCTAGAGCTTTTTACAAATGATTACTGTGGCATTTTTTTTTTTTTTTGGAATCCATTACCAAGGCAAAGGCAGCTATGCTTTAGAAAATGTGGGGATATTGCTATTTTTATTTTGAAATTGAAGGATTAAAGCAGATTATAGCATTGGGAAAATATCCAATTCTTTGTGTTCCATTTAGTCCTAAATAAAGCCCAGAGGAGGAAAATGTTACTATGGTGATATAGACTTTTACTGTATTATGAAGCGGTGACAATGAAAAACTTACCCATATAAGGTCATTTACAGTGAGAATTATGAAATGCTATGAATAGGATCATTTTAATTGATCCTTCTGTGACTAATCCCTTAAATCTTAATGATCAAGCCAATAAAATTACTGTACATTCAGATTTCAGTTAATATATACTTTCATTGCTAAGCATAATTTTCAAGAACCACCTCCCCCTATGCTTGAAGAGAAAAGTTTTCGATCAGTGTGTGCTACTTGCACTAACATATGCCAGTGAAACATGGACACTAACCTCACAATCGATACAAAAGCTACAAGCGGTGCAAAGAGCCATGGAATGATAACATGCTTGGCATTACAAGACAAGGTAGGAAGACCTGCACAACGGATTAGAGAACAAACGACAGTATATGATATCATCAAGAGAGTGGAAGAATTGAAATGGAAATGGGCTGGTCACATAGCAAGAAGAACTGATGGCAGGTGGAGCAAGGCAGTCATAGAATGGATCCCACTTGATAAAAAGCGTCCACAAAAGAGACCAGAAACAAGATGGATCAACAACCTCAGCAAGTATTATGGGGCCAATTGACAAAAGAAAGCTCAGGACCGTATACGGAAGAGGCCTTCACCCTGCAATGGATAGACCAGTGGTTCTCAACCTGTGGGTCGGGACCCCATTTGGGGTTGATCGACCATTTCACGGGGGTCGCCAAGCAAGGCTGTCTGCCATTTTTTCTGTCCGCCATTTTTTTTGTCCGCCATTTTTCCCCCTTTTCCGGCGGGTGCCTTACCTCCCTTGGGCTGGGCCAGCTGGTGGTCGGCCTGCTCCATCTCTGCCGCTGGCCAGCTACGCCTCGGCCGGCGCAGGGGGCGGAACCACGCATGCGCGGCGCTCCTGGGCAGGGAAAGTCCTCGACTTACAACCGGTTGGGTAGTCCTCGAATTACGACTGGTTTAGTCCTCGACTTACGACCGGTTTAGTCCTCGACTTATGATCGGTTGGGGTCACGGCATTAAAAAGGTTGAGAACCACTGGGATAGACAATGGCTAAAATGATGATGATACTATTGAGGAAAATGGTTTACATTGTCTTGAAAGTGTTAGGTAATAAAAGCATATGATTTATCTTCTCTAGAAACACTCTTTTTTATTATGCATGTAAACACCACAAAATTTATGTGAAATATATTTGATAATATATAGGTAGTTCATGACGTAACTACCACAGTTGGGATTGGATCCTCCATCATTAAGTGAGGTGATTATTCAGTCTGTTGCACCTTATTTTACAACTTTTGTGCCATCTTTGGTTAAGTAAATCACTGTTGTCATTAACTGAATCCAGCTTTCCCCATTGACTTTGCTTATTGGAAGCCGGCTAGAACTGGTGATTTCATGACCTTGGGATGCTGCAAGCATCATGAATACATATTGGTTGCCAAGCTCCTGAATTTTTATCATGTGATTATAATGTATGTAAGTGTGAGAACTCTACATGCGCGCGCACACACACACTGTATTTAAATCCCTCAGATTTTAGGTATCCTCTCAGTTAACATACAGATTCATCTCTTTCACTATATTTACTGCTTTGAGAGTGATACACTGCTTTCTTGCACTGATTCACTTACTTTTTACACGTGCTCCCTGGGATGCATGAAACATGACTTACCGGTAGCTAATTTTACGGCAATATTTTTGAATAAAGAAAATGGTGCACTTCCGAGGAGGGTAGTGATCTGGCCCCCTTTCATGGCAAACAGGGCACTTTGAAGGATGAAAGCCATAGTGGCACAGCCCCGCTAGTGATCTGTAGAGGGTAAAGAGAATGACATTGATGGAAAGAAGGGAGATCTGTTATGAAAGCGACAAGTAGAAAGGAGAACTATGAAAATGTCTCAAATAGGCACCTTCCCTCCCCATTTATGCTAATTTAAAAGAGGAACAAGGGGAAGCACAGTCAGACTTGCAAGATTCTGTTACTATAGCCAATGTTAATAAAAGTAGTTGTAGGCCTATGTGGAGCCTGTTGGTCTGATCTAACCCATAGAATTGTAACATGTCAGTTCAGAAGAACAAGGTGGGGGGACCACCTTTTACCATCTAAAAGTCAGGTATCTCTGAGCATGTTGTTCCCACCACTTCTGCTTCTTCCTGCTTGGCTTACCTGGTCAGAAATATTGCTTGGTATAGGTTTCAACTTATGCAAAAATCAGCTTAGGTAATATATGTACCTGCTTACTTAATATTTAAGGAAATGCTTACGATGTTCTATTTACAATGCCTACTTTTTTGTTTTGTAGCACTTTTTTATGTCACAAAAGGTTAACCATATTTATTCTGTCTCTCTAGCCTCTATAACCTGGCATCACTGGAATTAAGGGAGAATCTATTAACATATTTACCTGAGTAAGTATTTTCTCTGTTTGCTTGTATGTATGCACAGCATGACTTGAGAATCTTCTGTTCCCTGAATATGCAAATGAAATTGAAGAACAGAATAAATCTTCTAGCTGGAAATAGATATTACTGAAGAGTAATGTCTTTATTTCATCATGGAGAAAATCTATGTGGTTTGTTAGGAGTCAGAAATAACTTGATGGCGCAAAATCAGTGTCTTTATTAATATTAATTGACATAATGCTAGGATAAACTAGACAACCCATGACCTTTTGGGTCATTCTTTCAGAGATATTTCCTTACCAGATTCATCAAAGGCTTCAACAATGGCAGAGTTTCTAATGCACTTGAAAAGTCCTAAGGAATTAAAAGATATTCAGAGATGTATCTGCCTTGAAAATAACCTATATTGATCTTTATAGCACAGTCAAACATCAAGAGTTGATCATAGAAAATGATTTTTGACATTTTGGTTATGTCATTAAATACTGATGCACCATTTCTCCCAATTAAATGTTACAGACATGAGTGTTTAAATAGTATATAGATCATATTAAGAATGTCCTAGTCTAATTCCAATGGTAAACTTTGTGTTTATGATCTTTTAAAATTATATTGTTCCTGATTTTTCAGATCAATTGCCCAGCTGCAGAGACTAGAAGAACTAGATTTAGGAAATAATGAACTTTATAATTTGGTAAGCACTGCATATATTGAAAATTCAGTACACAACTTTTTAAACTCTTGGTTGTAAAATATCAAAAATGAGCTGCTGAGTTGACTTGGTTGTGTGTAATTGGTTTTTTCTATCAGTTCTTCAAAGCGATCTGTTTCTTGGCTATCTTAACCATGTTAAGTTACAGCATGCAGCTTTCTGTGTATATATTTTTGTTACTGTTTTTTTCTTTTTTTGATTCAAAAGGAAAGGCTGAGGATTTTGTTGCTTTTTTAAACGTATTTAAATTTCAAAAAGATATAAAATACAAAATAAAAATTAGGAAGGAGAGGATAAAAGGGGGAAAAGGCGAAGAATGAAAAGGGGTATTGACTTCTGACTTTCTTTAGCACAATACAAGTATAAATTAGCTCTTAATTGAAATTAAAACAAAACACAAAAACATACAAAAATATATAGATGAAACAATCAAGATAACATTAAAATTATTCAATGAAAAATCTCTTACTCTAACTTTAAACATAAGCATAAATGATACAAAATATATGTCTAATAATATGAATATTAAAATGCGGTATTTTATACTAACAAATCTAATCATCAAATCCTAAAATCAAAACTTCATTTTTATTTTTCTCAAGCAAGAAGTCCAAAAGTGTGGTCTCCAAATGAAAACAAGACTAGATAGGCTTTTGTCTTTGATCAGTTAGTCAGTTTTGCCATTTCTGCCAATTCCATTGATTTCACTCCCTTGTTTTTCTCCAGGAAAGAGTGAGGATTTTGATCTGGATTGGGAGGGCAACAAATAGGGATTATTCCTTCCAACTATCGATACAGTCATGTCTTTCCCTTGTGTGGACTTAGAGATAATTAAACTTTTTAAAAGTTCCATTAATGCCGGTGGTAAAAAAAAATGACTTCTATTGACCCAAAGGACATGCCCGTCCATGTGTCGAAGGGAAATATTAAATCTCATGTTTCTACTTGATCCTAGATCCATTTGGCATGCTTGCTTCTGAGTTAAGGGAAAAAAACCCCATAAGGGTTATTAATGTGCTATGTACTTAAACGTGCCAAATAGTTTATTTGGGGTTACTTTGCTGGAAGAGCTGGCTTGAAAGTCAGACAAAGAGAATAAGGAACCTCCTGAGGCAGGAGAAGGAAGAGTTCCTTGGAACCACCTGGATCACATGGGTGCAGCTCTTTCTGCTGTTATCTGGTCTGGGTAAAAGCTCTGATTCACTAGACTAGGCCATGAGTCAGCAGCTTTCATGAATAACACAGAACAGGGCTTACAAAGAGCCATCCCTTCCTTTTGGGAAAGACAAGGAATTTGAAGGAAGGACTATCTTAGGGGAGTTGCTAAACTCCACCAGACACCTTTCCTGAACTGAGAAAAAAACTTCTGCCACCCCTTTTCCTCCTCCTCCTCCTCCTAATTCTGTGGCTGACACTCTGAAAACATGGACGTTTTACATCTTGTTTCGCATGCGTTGCTTTAAAATTATACTCTGGAGCAATTTTTCTGAAATTCTTTTCCATACTTCTTTCCTCATGTGTGTGATTCTTTATTTTCTTTGGAAAAGAGAAAAAAAAAGAGAAACCCAATTTGAAAGAATGTGCAATTAACCTTGCCTTTACTGTTTTTGAAACTTTTGTTATACAGGTAGGGTGTAATTGACCCACATATGTAGAAACTCTGGAGGAATAGCAATTTATGTATTTAACTAAAATGCCCATCCTCGTAGATGCTTTTTATGTAGTTTCTTCTTTATAAAGTCATCTGTTTGCCCTTGTTTAGGCAATAAATTTCCATGTTCAGCCCAATGCAGGAGTAGTAGTGAGATGCCTCTCCACACTGGTAATTCACACTAGTGTTATGAGTGAAGAAACTGTCTCCATGCTTATAATGAGATTGCAGCAGGGAGCATTCCTATATCCATGTATGCTTCAATTGTCATTTCAGCTCATACTAAAACAGCTCCAATAACTTGTTTGTGCTGGTGAGTTCTTGTTCTACAATTGCACAATAAAAGAGGTTTTGCTTATTTTCACCGACAAAACTAGGAGAGTTGAAGAAAAGGTCATTGTTGCTTGCTTGTTAAATTGAATACTGGAAGTGCAAGCTAGTACAGGTAGTACTCAACGTCTGACCACAATTGAGCCCAACATTTCTGTTGCTAAGTGAGACAGTTCTTAAGTGAGTTTTGCCCCACTTTATGACCTTTCTTGGCAGAGTTAGTTACTAAGTTAGTAACACAATTGTTAAGTGAATCTGGCTTCCTCATTGACTTTGCTTGGCAGAAGCTCACAAAAGCTGATTATTATATGAGCCCAGGATACTGCAACTGCCATAAGTACATGCCAGCTGCCAAGCCTCTAAATTCTGATCGCGTGACCCTGGGGATGCTGCATACATACGAAAAACAGTCATAAATCACTTTTTTCAGTGCTGTTGTAACTTCGAACAGTCACTAAATGAATGGTTATAAGTTGAGGACTACCTGGTACACTTTTGAAATGCCCTTTCCATATTTACTGAGTTTTTGTTGTCCAGTACTGTATTTCCACTTTTTCTCTTTATGAACACTTGTAAAAAGTTTCTTTGACATGTTTTTTGTCACAACTTATACACTGAAGTAACTATATAGAGTTGTTGAGGGATTATTTTTGGCAATGTTATGGGAGTGGTTTTTCACTGTGATCTTTTGATTTGCTTTTTTTTTTAACTTGTCTAGATCAGTCAAGTTTGCTGGGTGTTGCCATATGTGATACTTCACTTTAAAATCAACTTTAAACCACTTGCGCTTTGTAGCTTTTACTCCTTGTTATCTTCAGTGGTAAGAGAAAAGGAAGCATGTAGAAGAAAAATTCCTCTTACAAATATTTACGGATACTAAACAGGGTTAGGCGTGGTTAATATTTGAAAGAGCCTCTAGGGTATTATCAGAGTTATAGACTAGACCAGGAAGTAAGAAAACATCCTGGAAGAATGCAGTGGTAAACTGCTTCTGCATTGCTGCCAAGAAAATTATATAGTCATATTCATGACTATATATGAAGAGCCAAGTTTGATTCAAATGAGACTTTACCTTTTAAATGATTTCTCTCTAAGTTCTTATTGCTATAGGTTTGGTGCCATATAGCTTGAGATAGTGCTTGCCATTGGCTTAGATTTTTACCTGACCGTGACACAGCACAGTATAGGTTAGGCCATCTTTTTCTTTTTCTTTTCTTTTTTAAAAAACCAGATACAAATATTTTACAATTCAATATGTACAAGCAACTAATATTGCTATGTATCTTACCTATCCTCCAAGACAGGATTTCAAGCAGGTTAATGAGCAATGCTATAAATAAACCCTTATAAATTAACATTTTTAAAAAGAAACGCCCAGTTCAGAGATTAATTTTTTTTAAATCTAGGCAAGAAATAGTCAGCTTTCTCATTCCCTTCCACCACTGTACCACTGGAAATCAACCTGTAAAAGAATGAAATAGAATAGAGGCTCTTATTTAATATCCACAAAATGTACCCGACAATTAAGTATATTCTGAGGTTAGATTCCTAATAACAGTAGTNTCTCAGAGAAAAGGTGGCGGAACTCAAACCTGGCCACGCCCTCATCAAACCCTAGGACCGCCCCTTTAGAGAACAGGAATGCAAGTAAAATTTGGGAGGGGCTATTTCCGGTGCGGGAGGGGCTATTTCCGGTGCGGCCGGCCCGGAAAAAGGTGCCGGAACGCGGTTCTGCCGCGTTCCGGCTGAAAAAAAGCCCTGACAGTAGTTCAATTTACTCTGTAGATTTAAAAACTAAAAGTACTGAAAAGGAAAAATAAGTGATACCCAACTCTTTCTCCACATCTGCAGTTTCCCAAGTCATTCTGGGTCCTGTATACATTTGAAATAAAAGCATATTTTTCCTGTTGCAGGATCCTAGCAAAAGAATGAAAAAATCCAACAATGGAACTTTTTAAAAATTAAACTGATTATATCTAGCCATAACTCTTGTATTTTTAAAAGTATATGTGCATGTTTGTGTGTATGGTTTTGATTTTACTTAAAATTGCATAGAGAGAATATTGATGCTCCCTCTGTCAGTACCTATATCTATGTGCAATCTTCTTGTATCGAAAGATATGTTTGCATGTGAATCTGAGAACAATTCATAATTGGGAAGAGAATTAGTTATAATTAATGTGAAAGTTATGACTGATTTCTTAAGTCAAAAGTATTTACATGTAATCTTTACAATTTGCATGATCAATAAATATAGAATATCTCATTCAGTTGGAGCACTTGAAGGGGCCAGCATAGGAGACCCAAAACCACTTACTCTCCCCCCCAAAACAAACTGTAAGAAAGAGATGCGTTTTACTTTCAAAATATGAGAAAATGAAAGAAAATAGGTGCTTCCTCAGTTAAGAAGATATTTTGTTCTAAGTCAAATCTGTAAACAGAACTTTTCATAAGACTTCAAATACAGTATTTTAATTGTTTTCTGCATGATTATAGCATCATCAGTAGAAAAATAAATAACTTTTTCTTCCTTATTATTTTAAAACAATTATGTAACTTGAAAGGAAATCCCCACTTGTAATGAATCTTGTCCTGCATAATTTTTTCTATCAGTAGTTTAAATTCCTTTCTTCACTGTATTATACTACTACGCTGATGTGTTGTCTGGGAAGAAGGATGTATTCTCATTGTCCTATTTAATCTCCTCCAGTTCACGTGATTTTCTTATAATTTTTATCTTTTATGTTGAATTTACAAATACAACCAAAATATCTCTAGGTTTCTGTGTGTTCCCAAGAGAATAAACCCAATAAGCACATTCAATATCTTTATCCTTTAGGTTCAAATCAAAGCTCAGGTCATTAATTTTAGAACTGAGATAAGCAGTCCAAAGGATTGTTCCAGTTTTCTCTGACACTCCTTTAATCCTTAAATTATGGCTCCTGTTAACAATCTTGTAAATCTGCGAACTCAGTCTTTATTTCCGAAATACTCTTTTGAGCCTTGCTTATCTCTAGAGTATTACTTGTAGGCATATCATAAGCCTTATTTGTTACTTGAGCTATATCTGCTATTTGCTGTGACATTTCCATAAATTGTTTATTCATTTGTGAAGATACACCTGTAGCCTTTAGTTACTTCCACTTTGTGTTTATCCCATTCTATCTTCAGTTCTTTTTAAAGTTCCTTCATTAATTATGTCCATATCAGATACCTGTCCATGTCTGTGGATAGTGGACAGTGCTTTCTTCCTCTATTGCAGACATGTCAAACACAAGGCCCGGGGGCCGGATGCGGCCCGCGAAGTGGTTTCATGTGGCCTGCGAAGCCATCCTGGAAACAGTGAGGGAACGGCCCCCGCTGCCTTGGCCCTGGCCCAGGCCAGCCGGGAGCCAATGTACAATTTTGTGGTGGCCAACTATGTTGAAATGCATTCAGTCTTAGCTCCACAAGGCCGTCCAGAAACAGCGAGGAACCAGCCCCTGCCGTGTTGGCCCCGCCCCCTGGGTGCATGCTGGGGAGGTGTCACCCTTTGTGAGGAGTGAAGAAATGCACCATGCCTTGGCGCTTGCCCCAGTCTCACCCCCTTCTGCCAGAGATCCTCAGATCTGTCCCACTCCTGCCCAGGCCCCCACTCCTGCCCAGGCCCCCTTGACGCGAATGATGTAGAGCTGGCCATGCCCACCCAGTAGGCCACACCCACTCCATCCACGCCCACCCAGTAGGCCGCACCCACCCTGGCCACACCCACCCGGCCCCCCAAGGGTAACCACAATGCTGATGCGGCCCTCAATGAAATTGAGTTTGACACCCCTGCTCTATTGCTTCTTCTTTGTTACTGGGAAAAGGTGCTTCCTCAACCTTCTTTAGGTCTTCCAAATAAGCTTTGAGCCCCTTTTCCTTGCACAGAGTCTCCTTCCTTAGTCTCCTGCTTAAATTATCCTACTGTTTGATAAAAAGTTTGGGCTAAATGTGTTGTAGTTTTGGGAAATAGCTTGCTTTTCTGATAGAAAGAAGCCTTAGTACAGGGGTTTTCAAACTTGGCCCTTTTATGACTTGTGGACTTCAAGTCCCAGAATTCCTTGGCCAGGCACATTGGCTGAGGAATTCTGGGAGTTGAAGTCCACAAGTCATAAAAGGGCCAAGTTTGAAGACCCCTGCCTTAGTAGGTATCAGAAGTCAACCAAGCAGTCAAGAAACTGCAGTAGGCTGAACTGCACCTTTGCTTTGCCCACTTGAAGTTTTGAGCTGCCAGCAGTATGGAAGGATTTGTACAATTGATTGTCTTAGATCAGACATGTCAAACTCACAATGTCACATGATGTCGCACAACATATCGGGACGGTTTTGCCATTGCCGGCAATGGGGTGGGCGCGGCTTCCGGATGACGTGTCCGGTCCACAGGCTGGCAGTTTGACACCCCTGCCTTAGATTAATTAGGCCAACAATCAGGAGTACCATGTAGTATTCCAAAGGGCATCACTTTGCTTATTCCTAATCTACAGTAATAATGATATGGGATAGCTAACAGGGAATGACAATGTTTATTTTGGTGCTTAACTTTATTTATTTGCAGGAAAAAAATGGCTACTTGGAATGAAATAAAATCAAGTTGGATTCTTTTACTGATTATTGTGCCATATTTTTTAATGCTAATCATGGGTAGGACAGAAAATATATAACGTCGGTCCTTGGTATCCACGTGAAATATTGGAATTTCTGGAGACCAATCTACCTTTGGTCAACCGCCTTTATGGAGTCCATTCTTGTTTACGAAGAACCTAAAAACGTTGATTTGAGTAGACGAATAACTTTATTTTTATAAATTTTAAATCATACGACAATAAAAATTTTTCAATGACTTTTTATTATTCCATGTTTATTCTCAATATGTTAGCACCTCTTCATCTTCATTATTTGTGTCTCCATTTTGAAGCTGATGAAGTTGTTCTGGGGCAAGAACACTATGTTGGTTCTTTCTTTGGCCAAGTATTGTTTAGGAAAGCAATATGCCTGTTTACTTGGAAGTAAGATAAAGTACTTTTCCCTGAACAGTGGAAAACTAGGGGATAGTGGAACAGCTAAATGTTAAGAATTAGATATATGATTGAATGCCACAGAGTTTCTTCAGAATGTGTCCAGTTTGAGGGAAGATTTGTGAGCATACCGATTTGCATTGTTAAGATTGCTCTCCTGATTTAACACCTTTGAAATTCTTCAGGAGGGGTTTATAAACAGATATTTTGAAGAGTTGATGACAATGAAACAGAATGCCCAATTGTAGGAGTTTCCTACCTTGGAAATTAGAAAGGGGTAGTATGTAAATATTTCTTTCAAGGCTGGCTCAGGAATTCTGGGTGTTGAAGTCCACAGGTTATAAAGTTGCCACAGTTGCCCACCTCTACTTTTTAACCTCTATCACAATGGGATGGGGTTTTGGTTACTTGTTAACCTTGTGTCACAAAGGGAGATGTTCAACACAACAAATGCAGACTGGCTATTTGGGTATGTCTGCTTTCCGCTGTGTTGATTTAGCAGAATGAGTGCTGAGATGAATGAAGACCTGATCTATGTCAATATATCCACAGTTGTGAATATCTGGCAAGGGCGTGCATTGTGTGTTAAATTTATAATCTCACACCAGTATCTGTATCTTTTGCTAACTGCAGTCAAAACACAAGATTTCAGTAATCTAGCAGTGGGATTTATATATAAATCAGGGAAATAAATGGTCAAAATGCTGCTTCAGTAAAATATCTGGTTGTAAAAGGCATAAAATCTATGTATGCTATCCTTGCACGAGTCCTGACATTTGCTGAGGTCAGTAGAAAGCGGAAATTGAATTCATGTACTTTACCTTTTTATGTTGAACTGTTGAACCTTGAGCCAGTACTAAGAGTTGGGTGTTGATTTATGTACCCTCAAAGTCTGAAAGAATACTAACAGATTGTTGGCCCATGCTAGATGTCGCACATACAGATTTTACTGGTGATCCATTTGTGATATCATCACAAGCGTGTTATCATCCAACAGGGAGGATTCCTAGCATTGCCCTTAGGAATGTTGTAATTGGACAAATGTCAGATCTCTGGGCATTGCGGGTTGAGGCAAGATTTTGTCTTTTGTTTTGTAGGAAATAGGAAGCCTGAAAAACCTGCTGTGTCTGGATATCTCTGAAAACAAACTAGAAAAGCTACCTGAAGAGATAAATGGCCTGACCTCTTTAACTGACCTCCTCATCTCTCAGAATCTCCTTGAAATGTTACCAGATGGTGTAGGTGCGTGAAATCTTTCCTTTTAAAGAATAAAAATTAGACTATTTAATCCAAGTAAGAAGCTGATTGATACCAATGCATGTTGTCTAATGTGTATTATTAGGTACATTTTGTTTTTTTGATGCTAGTGCAAATAAGGGCAAATGTTGGCACTATTCGTACATAACATTGAGGCATCAGTGGGCAACCTATGAACCTGGATTGTTTTATGCAGTCTTGGAGCCTCCTTTAGGATTCTATGACCGCTGTTCCTCTATTGAATCATGATTTAGTTGTGAATTAGCTTATGAAAGTCTCACTATGGTAGTTACAGTATGTATGCCCTTGTCTATCAGAAGTTTCTCCTCTGTTTATGATCACAGTTTGGCAGTTGGGTCGGAAGACAATATATTGCTGTTAATCTAAGGTGTAATTGATGGAAACAATCACAAGTTCAGTTTGGTTTGTTTGGGTCATTTTATGGCCAGTGGTGGGGGGGAAACAGGCCGAAGCTCACTCACATTTAGTATTACCCCTGAATGAAGCCATAATTAAAACATGAATCTGAAAGTAGGTACATGCCACTTTGCAATATCATTTCATTTGCCTACAGATGTTAATTACACTGTTTCAACACATTATGGCTTGCCAAGGGCAAGAATGAAAAATGTTCAGTGTGATGATGTATCATGGAGCTAAATTGCATTGCACATTTACAGAGTGGGAAGATATTGACATGAGACAACCCGACATTTGCAATAATGTCAGGTTCTGCCCTTGTGTTTTCTTCAGTGTGATCTTAAATCTGCTTATTATATCAATCTTATACCTACTCTTCAGGTGACATATATTATTAGGGCTGCAGAAGGCATTTGAAACAGGTGCTTTGCAACTCACTTGGGCACCCAGGAAGCACCTCTTAGTTTAATGGTTGAAATAGCATCACTCGCAAGAGCAGAGTGCTCCAAATGCTTTTTTTCTGCCTATATGTGTACACATGGCCACATTGCTTCACTGGTGGCCTCAGGAAAATATGCTCTGTGCAGACTGAGACACCTGGGGGGGGGCAGCTTTCTGAGCAATTTTCTGAGCTTTGCAAATCCCATGGCTGATTCATGATAGATTTTTTATTCACCTTAACGCTCACTGCAAATGTTTTTTTAAGTGTTTTGCCCAGGCCCAGTCTCTCTCTCCCCCCTCCTCTCTCTCCCCCCTCCTCTCTCTCCCCCTCCCTCCCTCCCTCTCTCCCCCCTTCCCCCCCCTCATCCACACACCCACACACCCATATAGAGGCACACTCTCCACTGTTATTGAATCCCAAACTTTAGCAATTCACTTCATTTTTATGCTGGCTTACCTCAAGTGTAATCAAGCACATTTTCAGCATTTCCCCAAATGGATATTTATAGATGGTCATTATTTGTACAAAGAAATGTTGACGCTATTTGCAAAATGTCAACCAGACTTAAAGATATTGAATTGCCCACTGTTAAGGTGTTGAATCCAAGCTTCACTGAGCAGCAGTGTACTCTATATGTATATTAATAATAATAATAATTGAAGAGGAGATTGCTGACATGTGATTTTCCCAGCAGAAACTTCTCTATTTGCATACTGTTTTATCCTGTGTAATACTGCTCAAATCTCTTCCTCTTTATCCTTATTTTCCCTCCCACTTGCTAAACATCCTGGTTGCTTGTTTTCCTGCTCTTGATGATATGGCTTACAAGCAGCTAATCAGCAGTTTTACTGCAACTGGTTACATGTTGCAATTAGTGGAAATACATTACCCATTGCTGAGGGGACAACTGGAGATGTATGAATAAGTTAGGTTCCATTAATTAAGTTCCATCTGGCTCTCTAACAGAGTTACTCACGGTATTTTAAAAAGTAACTGCCCCCTTAGTTTTCCCATGATCATTGTCAGTATGATATATTGATGGATGGCATGTTGGATCTCAATTTGATCTTCAAATGTTTTATTATTATGAAGGTAATGGGGACACCCACATTTTTTTATTAATATACCTCTCAGTGATTGGTGACCGTAAAAATCAGATGATTCTGTGAATGCAAGAATCAGCCGGACCGATAAGATTATCTATCAGATATAATAGATAATATTCTTCAGTGCAGAAGATCAAATGTTTTACCTGTAATAAAGGTTTGTTTGGAAATATTTTTGTGATGAAGCCACAGATGGCAGCATTTTACTGAGATTTCCATACACATGGAAATGTACATATGGAAACAGTAATTTTCACTGGACTGTCCACAAATCTGTCTCCTCTGTAGAAATAATATCTTTTTGGATATTCCATACAAATTCACAGAATCGGGGCAACTCCAGGACCCTAAATGTATAGTCTTCAATTAGCTTATATTATTGCATGCCATTTCAATTGCGGGTTTATTTTTTTGCTGGTTGGTTTCTTACATTTCCTGTTTATTTTTTTAGAAATCTTGCAAAGAAAGTTTTGATTTTCTGTTAAGGCTTAGATTTGGCATTTGTGGACTTTTGTGCATCATGCTTTTCATTTTCACAGTGGAACTCTGTAAGGTGTCGTACAGCTAAAAGCAAAAATAAATAATGAAGTAATTGACATAAGTATTTTAGCCTAAAACTGTGGTGTTTGATTTTTTCAAATGGTACTTCCAAACACATTCTTCTGATGCTATTGCTCCCTTGATAGTTATTTTTCTGCAGAATACTTTAAATGTGCACCTATTTGTTGTTTCCATGAATTGCATGTTATTTATGTTCCAGTCATATGACAGTATAATTTTCACCAATGTGAATCATTTTAAAAGCTTAAAACCAGTTTTGCTCATTTTCCCAATTTACTTCTTTGATTCCAGATGGCTTATTGATGTTTGCAGACAGAGAAGGGGTTTTTTTTAACATGTTATTTTGAGGCTATATTTTCAGTGCCATTCTGTCTAGCTGAGCAGTTGTGAACCATCACACTATTTTTATACTGTATTCCTCCACAGCTGTGCAGATGTATGTACATTAGTAGAATTTAAAGAAAAGAAACTACCAATAATTTGAAATAGCAGTGTCACTTCCCACTTATCTCCAGATTATAGCACTGTACTATGGCTTGTGACATCCACATGTGCTGTAAATACAAATTATTAAATATACATGGTATTTCAATTTCTGCCTACCACAGTTATACAGCTACAACTCTGCATAAATGTATATAGAATTTGGCTAGGTTACACATATGGAAATACTGTATTACATTTATTAATACATGCATTTCAAGCAGCAACTGCATTGGAAGCAGGTCTGACACAGCAATGCGTGAGAAATATAAAGTGCTGTCCTATAGGAAGTTAATAAAGCAGGAATAAAGAAAATAATAAGCTCACCAAGGTTTGTGTAAATAAATTACACTGTAAAGCACAGGTAAATTAAATACTCCCATGCAAACTTCCCCCAATTTTTCTGCATTGAATTGGATCACTTGCAAGGCACGTGGTTTGCTTTCAGTAGGAAGCTTGTATTTTGGTGGGATGACATAAAATCTTCCCTCTTATCCATACCTATATCCAGCATCAGATTGTTTTAATAGAGAACTAAAAAGGGTCTAGTCCAGGGGTAGGCAACCTTGGCTCTTTTATGACTCGTGGACTTCAACTCCCAGAATTCCTGAGCCAGCTTAGCTGCCTCAGGAATTCTGGGAGTTGAAGTCCACGAGTCATAAAAGAGCCAAGTTGCCTACCCCTGGTCTAGTCCAATTGCCTTATTAGATTCAAATCCTTGGAGGTTGTCCTTTAGCTATTATTATCCTTACCTGGGAGTTCTCAAATTTTGTGGATGCTCTGTCCCCCTGAAATGATAAATGAATGTTTTTGATTCCTCCTCAGCTAAAAAAACAACAACGAATGAGCTTCTTCTTGATAGTAGTGAGATGGCCCATTAATGACTTTAGCACTGTGTGGGTTCCTCACCCTGTACTTTACCCCCTTAGCCCCACCTCCTGGCTCTGGGCCATCTCTGCTCTTAAGTGAATGTCGTGGGTATCCTTGTAGCCATTGGTATGCCTCCTCCATCAACCTTTGGATGGCAGGAGACACAATAGAGCTCTTACTGTGCGTTTAAAAAGCACTGTCTATAAACAGGGCTGCCTAGACTGTAGCCTCCCGTCCTGCATCTGTCATGCCTTGCTAACCAACTCCTTATCTTCAAGGTCAGTCTGCCCCTATTTTCAAACCTGTGATTGTTAGTGTCTGTCCAAAAGTATACCTTGTGTATTCCACCATCAAAACACATTCGTGCTTACATTACCCTTGCCTTTCAGAGCAGGGAATGTGATTACAAGCTCCCATTCAGTCCGATGACCCTCTGAAACCGGTCATATGGCCAGTTCTCCCTGAAAAATGCCATGAATTTTCACACCTGCTGGTTTCATCAAGGAAGGATCAGAATCAGATTAATCAATACTTGATCTGAGAGTAAAACCAAGCAAGTCCTATGACGGGAGGAGGAGATTTCCCAGTGTGATCTGGTGTTAGCTACAGTTGCAAGAGAGGAAATGGTGAGATGTAGCTTATTGCAGGGAATTTCAAAGTTCAAAACAGAGAGATGAACATGAGACTCCCTCCATCCTGTTCTAAGGCTATCGTGGCTTTGTTGTCCTTGTAGCCAAATCTGGTGGTTCATCTATTTTGCATCCCAAGTCATTATTTTTGTTTCCGGCCAGCTCAGCAGATGGATTTCCTCTATACAGGTAGTTTTTGACTTGTTCGTTTAATAATTCACAGTTAAAACAGCTAAAAAAAATAACTTATGATCCATTCTCACACTTATGGCCATCACACACCCCTCCAGTCACATGGCTGCAATTCAGGAGTTTGGTGACCAGCTTGCATTTGTGACAGGTTGCAGCATCCTGGGTCATATAATCACGATTCTTATGCTGGTCCAGCAAAAAGTGCCCATTGGGGAACTGGATTTACTGAACAACTATGGTGATTCGCTTAACAACTGCAGTAAAAATGTCAAAAAATTTGGGTCTGACTCAACTTGTGACCACAGCAACTTACGATGGGATTCCAGTCCCAATCGTGGTCATAAGTCAAGAACTACCTGTGCTGCTGAACATTTTGAACAGTGTGTGGACTCCAAAAGAGCTGTACTTAATCTCAGGATCTGAAACTGCAGCCAAGAGTATTTGGCTTGAGACTCCTTTCTGCAAAACTGGGATGAGGCAAGAGGAACCGGCCGTCCCCATCTGCTGCTGCTCATAGTTCAGTATGGTTGTCGCCTATTTGCCCAACATCCACCCTAGATTCATGATGGTGTGATGCCTATGTGACTACACCCTTATTTTGCGGAGTGAGGAGGGAGACCTAGGAGACATCCTCCTGCTCAAATATTATGTCCCGTCCTCTGATTTTTGGGGCTGCTGGCCCAGCAGGAGCCTGCTGGATCGAGCAACTGTAGTTAACTCAGCCATGGACCCAATCTTATGAGGCTGAAGGTCATTCTTCTGAGCTGTGCAATGTAGCTTTTTGTGCACTGTGTTCTTCTGGGTTCCTGCTCCAGATAAGCCTGGGCCCTGGGAAACAAAAACCTAGGATGGTCTTTGCAACAGGTGTGACTCCAGGCAGTGAGTCAGGCTAATCGGGAGGGAAGAGCAGCTGTCTCTGCCAGCTGAAACTCCCTTTGGCTTTGGGAAGCTTCTGCTTGTGGGCACAGGGGCAAGAGGATGATTCCTGGATGCTTAGTTCTACGGAGTTTCTTTGTCTTGATTTGTTGGCATCACCCATATCCAAACTTGCCCACAGAATCCAGCAGCAGATTCTAGAATAAGAAGAAAAAGATAAAAAGAATTCAGTCTTAGCTAGACTTAAGTTCTCACAGCAAGCCCCTGAATATTTCCATCCTCTCCCACTTTCCTTGCAACTGCTTGGGGCGGTCACTACCCATAAAAACTCACATCCTAATCCTTTTTGGATGTTGTGTTTTGATCCCACCCTTCCTTCCGAGAAGATAACAGTGGCCCATACAATTATCTATGCTTCCCACTCTCTTGCAAACCCTGAGAGAGGCAAAGAGGTTTTATCTGGAGTTCTCAGCTGATGCTATCACTGTTACTCCTGAAAACACATTCTTCTTTAATACATGGAGGAGTGATGAGTTGCGCAAAAATAATATTTTGTGAATATTGCTTTTGGCTACCAATGAGTATAAAGTTGAGCCCTCTTTCGTTAATTATGATTGGTGTGTTCATTTTGCAATGTGCCCCTGGAATTTCTCCTCTTCAGTAGCCATAGATTATTTGCTTAAGGATGTCTTCTTGCTTTTCTGTCAAAAATGTACTTCTGTTGTCCACTTGTTAGAGCAGGGGTAGTCAACCTTGGCTCTTTTATGACTTGTGGACTTCAACTCCCAGAATTCCTGTTGTGCTGGCTCAGGAATTCTGGGAGTTGAAGTCCACGAGTCATAAAAGAGCCAAGGTTGACTACCCCTGTGTTAGAGCATGGTTTCTTTTTATGGTAGGCAGGGGCTACCTTCCCAGAAGTTCTTCCCAGATGTTGTTGAACCCTCCCATCAATCTAGCCAGCAGAATCAATGTTGAAAGATGATAGCAATTCCACTCTAACAGCATCTGGCTGTCCATGTGTTCACTTCTGCCTTTGGTCAATCAGCAGAGAAGGCACATTTAAAAGCCTGGATGAATAACCTTTCTTTTGACTGGTGTCTAAAAGAACCCAAAGAGAACACTAGATGAGGCTCCTTGAGGAAAGTAGATAGTTATTGGCTGTTGAGGGCACAGGGAATAGCCTGGAGGGACAGGAAAAAGGCAATGATCAGATAAAAGATGACTGAGTCCAGGGCAGGAATGTAACCTGAGTAAACGTCTCAGACTAAACCCTTTCTAGTTTTCATGAAGATAAAAGGGAGAGAAGAGGGAAATACATTCAGAGTTACTGTAGCTTTTTGATAAAACTAATACTGATCTGTACGGCAATGGTTTCCTAGCCAGATCTGCCTTGAAGGGCTACAGTTGTCTTACTGCATTGACCACATAGCTTTATCGGAAGCCCTTCTCCAAGATGAACAAAGGGCGTGGATATAGTGTTTCACATTATCACTCTGGTCTTTAATCTTTCCGCTAAAATACCCATTGGGCAGGCTTTTCATGACTTGTGACTTTTGAACAATATTGGGTTACAGTTTTTATCATTTCAAATCAGGATGACCAGGGGCCTAGAAACCCATAGAAGCTTTGTTGTTGTTTTAATTGTAAAAATGTCTTTGGAAGGTTATCTTTTGAAAGATAGACTTTACTAGATAAAAAAAGTTTTTTAAAAAATCAGAACTTTTCAAGAACATCTGAATATTCTGGAGAACTAGTTAAGATTGCTTTCTCCTTAAGTAGTTGATAATTGCTGCAATTAGGTTCTCTGGTTTTGTTTTGTCTACAAATTTTTTAAAGGCTCATTTTTTTGTGTCTACAGGAAAGTTAAAAAAACTATCCATCTTGAAGGTTGACCAGAACAGGCTTACTCAATTAACAGAAGCTGTAGGAAACTGTGAATGTCTTACAGAATTAGTTCTTACAGAAAATCAGCTGCTGGTAAGTATGCTGTTAGCTCTTCAAATGATGGCATTAAATGAGGGTGGCAGAATCTTTATTTACCTATTTTAAGAGCTTATGACAATTACAGTGAAGTACAAAACAACTGAATTACTGCCCGTCAGGATGCATTTTAAGCACAATATTGAATAGCATGAAGTTACAGTAGACCAAAATATCAGCTCAACAGTGAATGAGACAGTGAGAAAAGCATGGAATTATTTCAAAGCAGGTTTTACTTGAATTTGGCTGTAATACCAAATTATCCAGCTAAGATTAGTATAGTAGAGGAGAAAATGTATTGATGGAAAAAGCGATTGCTAAATGTAAGACCTAATAAAGCATGATCTTGTTCAGAAAGTAATAGGATGCTGGCATGCTAAATTATGTTTTGGCTTTCTCCAATCACCTCTCTCAAACTTCCATACTCTAGTACTTAATGTAATTTATAAACTTTAATAAATATTTAGTAAATTAAATAATAAAGATTGGACGATAGTTTTGTAACAGCTTTTCCAGGAGGAAATCACATTTGGTGGAGGGCAAATAATAAATCTGGAGAGGAAAAAACTGTCCCAGTTGATTTTGGAGGGCAATGAGAAAGACCTTCATCAAAATTAATTTAAAAATTTGATAAAGGTCAGTGACAGAGTTAAGAAGTAGTTTTATCTCATTTTTAGGATAGAATTATGGAATAATTTCTCTAATAAATGGGGAAGAAGGAGTTAAAACCTGCAAAGCTGAGGAACGGGAGGAGTAACAATGGAACATCCTATGTTTGCTTTGCAGTGTACTAGAACAAGATGTAATAGTAAAATAAAGGCTGTAATTTGTTCTCTCTCTATAATATGCTGCTCCAACTGGAGACTAATTTCCTAGCCACTGTTGCAGAATAAGGCAAATACCTTGAGAGAAGAAAGAACCACAGTAGTAATCCTATGTTATCTTCAATAATATGTTTTTATGAGTACAATAATCATGGGTCTATTTCTTGCTATGTGAATTGCTTTCATTTTCCTTGTTCACCTGTGAGTGGAGAAAAGGCACAGGTAATGTTCACTACTGATCTCTGAAACATCAAAAATCCTAATTGGAGAAGGAGGACTATCACCATATAGGATAAGAGGTTTCTGTGAGAAATTGCCCCAAACTAGATGTGATCCTCTTTTAAAATAAATATTTCTTATCTTGGTTACTCAGGAGGGTTTTGCAGTTGTGCCAATTATCCTGAGGTATAAGTCGGTACAGATGGGAATACTGATCATACATCCATTGAACTTTTTAAATCTCAGACATCTGAAATCCAGCCACTTTGAAATTCCAGTAATATTAATTGCTGACATTGTTTTCTTTCAGACTTTGCCAAAGAGCATTGGGAAACTAAAGAAGCTGAATATATTGAATGTTGATCGAAACAAACTTGTATCTTTACCTAAAGAGGTAATTAATGTTTATTACTTTATTTACCCTAGGAGAAATGAAGTACGTAGTTTTTATTCAGGAAAAATAGAATGGAAGAGCTTAAGCTGCAGTGGCTGATAAATCTTCAAATAATTGAAGAATATAGATGTAATAAAGTTTGCAGGTGGAATAGTGACTACATTGGACTGAAATTAGACCTTTACATTTACTGGTGAATGTACTGTGACTGATGTTTGTTTGGAGATTAACCAAAATAATTAAGACTTTACCTCCTAGCCTTGGGCTTCTCAGATAAAGGAGGAGGACAGCTGTTACTTGTGTCAACATCTTTTCACAGTGTAGGTGGAAATCTGAAATATTATCTTAAGTTTTAAGAATAATTGAAGGCCAAGTCATTCTCTCGCAGCAATGTTCTGGAACATTAACTGTAGTTAAATTTGGAATGCTCTGTCAAAATACTGTTGAATGTCTCTAGCTATTAGGAGTATTTAGCTTATTAAAACTAAAATTACTATGTAGAAGTATATCTCAAGACTGCAGGTTCTTGGATAATTATAGCAAATCATGTTAACAATATTACCTCCTAGATGAGAAAAAGACTGTCTGAAACTGCTTGATTTTTTTAATCCAGTAAGGATACACTGCTGAAAATGAATCGGCACAGGGGCTTTTTTTTAAAGTTGCTATCATGGAAGTAGCTTTTGTATAAAGTCCAGTGGTAGGATTCAAATGTGTGAACAACTGGTTCTCTGTGTGGATGCCGCTTCTGGAAGTCCATTCTGGGCCTGGGCAACAAAAAATTACCTACTGGTTCTGCCAAAGTGGTGCGAACCGGCTGAATCCCACCACTAACTAAGTCCCAACTCATCAAGCATAACCAGTGCTACAATTAACTGAACATTACACAGGAATATACCTGTTAATGGTTTTAACAATTTTGAGTTGTCTGTATTTTGCCAGAACACAACCTGATCCAGTTTCTTATTTTATGGAAAGACATCTTGAAATGTTTTGACTGTTTTGGCCGTAGGAAACAATGGGATCACCCCCCCACCCCCAAATACCTTGCATCTTTCTTATCACCCTATGATCAGAAGAATAGATGGCATAATAGCTCATGAAAAGTGCTACTACTAGTATAGTGCTTATGGACAAAAAGAGAAAAAAAATAACTTTTTTGACGATTCCAATTATGGAATGATTAGGTTCGTTCTCCACCTAAACTGCCCTTCCCCAATATAAAAACTCAAAAGTGTAGCCTTCTGCTTTGCCCCAGAGGTTTGCTAATTGAAAGGAACATGAGGAGAGGTTACTAATCTGGCTTGAAAGAAAGAACACAGAGACCTCACTTTCTCAGACATCTCTTTCAAGTTAATTATCTACAGGTCGAGATGCATCCTGGCAAATAAAATGAACTGAACTCGGCTTATTGACTCAATTGGGGCGTCTTTCAGAAATGTTTTAAAGTAAACCTCTTCTTAGCATTATGTCAGCCTAATCCTAACCCTGAGGACAGTCAGGAACATAGACTTTCTCCTCCTACCCATCTCTCTCTCTCTCTCTCTCTCTCTCTCTCTCTCTCTCTCTCTCTCTCTCGAGAGAGAGAGAGAGAGAGAGAGAGAGAGAGAGAGAGAGAGAGAGAGAGAGAGAGAGAGAGAGAGAGAGAGAGAGAGAGAGAGAGAGAGAGAGAGAGAGAGAGAGAGAGAGAGAGAGAGAGAGAGAGAGAGAGAGAGAGAGAGAGAGAGAGAGAGAGAGAGAGAGAGAGAGAGAGAGAGAGAGA